CCAAAACTCTGCAGCGATCCACAAGTAAAAATAACCTCATGAATGCAATCTTCAAACCGAAGGTCAGTAATGACTCCAGTCCAAATTACTTGTTGTCTGCGAAATTAAAGCTTAAAAGATTAAGATGCATGCAAGCCAACTGTACGACACAACTAGGTTAGAAATAGATTACAAATGTCCCAAACTTTTCAATGAACAGTGTTCTACCTGGTTATTAAAACTCTGTTCGTAGTTTCCTCTATTCAGCTCTTCACTGTAACATTTCCCTGCTAGGTGCATTTTCACACCCTGCACAAAGCTGAGGGCACACCAGCTGATGATTCCTTCATGCCTGCCTCCCTACCCTACCACCCACCATGGATTACCATGAAGCATCACTCAATCTCTGCTTGAAGGGCTGCATTTTGTAGCACTGCATCTCTTGTAGCTTTCTTTTACTTTCCTGTAACCTTTCTTTGACAATGAAAAGCAGATAAAACGCAGCAGATAAGTCGTGTTTGAGACACATGACTTAGTTGTACAGATGATAGGGAATATGCATTAGTGTCACAGATAAATGAAGAAACAGCTGCAGAGACATCCATCCCACAGTCAGGACAGTTCTCTAAGTACTTCCATACACTAAAACCTTCTACAGCTCAACATTTACAGCTATTGTGATTAGGCAGATCTTCCTCCGTGTGCCCATGTAAGACAAAATCAGAACATCACATAAGGATCCAAAAGAAAAGCTTCCAAGTCTCACTGCCACAGTCAAATAGGCTGCCCTCAGCCATCCGCATGGGTAAACTTTACCTTGTTGGGATAAATTTGGTCGGAGACTTCAAAATTAATCACAGGTTGAGTTTCTCAGCTTCCAGAGGCTCAGATGAAGATATTGTAAGAGAGATTGAATTTATGAGTATGCCTGCTAGTTCAGAAAACCCAGCCTGCCATTTAGTTTGGCCATCCAAAACCAGAGGCAGCTTCAATTGTCACTTTTTGAAAATGAATCCTCATGTGCCAACCTCAGGCGATTTCATCATGTCAGTGAGAACAGAAAAATCCCTCCAGTCCAGAGTTCTCACTGGTGATCTGCAAAGTCTCATCAACACTAACTGGAAGAGAAAAGCAACTCACCTTCAGGTTCCTGAAGCACACCTTCCTATTCTCAATAGCAAGCAATGACACGAATCCTTCTGATATAATTTAGAACCACGTTAGTTTTGAAATTAGTAAGTCATGAGCCCATTCTTATGGTGTCTCTGACTTGTACTGGATTTGAAACTTTTTCACTTTTTCTGTACTGCTTAAAAACGAGCAAGGGAGACGAGGAGAGTTGTAATACTCAACACTAACACCTTTATCTTCACTGTTACTTGCAGCAATTTTGCTTGCATTTATTAACGCTTTCTTAGAGTTTGCAACAGAAAATGGGCTGGCACAAGACAGGCACATGGTTAATCTCCCCAGTCTGTTGACACTATTCAAACCGATCTAATTTCCAGCCCAACTCTGCCCATTCTGTCTGTGCCACAAAGAAAATAGGAGCACAATAGTGCAATAGAGCTGATTTTTGTCTACATCAACTGCTTTTTAGCATGAGAGCAGCTCTTCAGGAGACTTACAACACTCCCACAGCTATTTGGAAGCCCAAGAACGAGGCATAGCAGCAGACGGTATAAACAGGGTGGTTTTCAGACACCCATCCTGCAAGCAGCTCAGCGTGTGGAAATGAGTTTGGCTGCAATTGCTTGCAGGACTGGGGCTCTAGCTACCAAGTTGATAGATTCCTTAAAATTTCCAAATTAAAAGCATAAATAAAGAAACGAAGTGGAAGCTTCTCTAATTGCTGCTTTGCTTGATGGCTTCTGGCAGCCTGTTCCCATGCTATTCCAGAGCGACTCCTGAGAATGCAGCAGTTCTCCCCGCTCGCCTCTTTTCCCTTTGCGCTGCATCAGCTCCCAGCAGCAGCACCCTCTCACATGAGTTCTGGCCCTGAGCTCACTGGCCTTACCATCGCCCTCCAGAGTGGGAAGCTACCTGAAAGGCAGAGGAGAAAAGCAATGTAGGAGTGTGTTGGATGCAGCACAGCCTGGGGCATGCTGGAGCCTGCAGCTAGGGCAGCGTGGGCGCTGGGCAGGGGGAGGCTTTCCCCTCTAGACCCACCGTGCTGGATGAGGGAGCCTTGCTGTCAGCCTTTAAGAAACTTCAGAGAGACACGTCCTGGAAGGAGAGCGCCTTGTTAGTTGTTTCAAGCTTCTTGGGGCATCTGCTTCTCTACTCGGAGAGTAAAAGATGTTCACACGGCAAAATGTAGTAGGAGTAATGGAAGCAGCTCTTGGAGCCAGAGGGTGATGTGCTTGTAGGTCGTTTCCAACCTTTCCGTGTGCCCCAAACAAAGAAGGTGCCATAGGATGCTGTACATCAGGAAAAAAAATAAGCCCATGCCAACTCTAATTGGCACCTAAAATGACAAGCTCGTCCTTTTGTCTTTGGTCTCCCTGAACTTTGTTTTCCTATCTTTAAAACACTCCTTCATCTCACAGAGGTTTGGGAAGAATTAATTAATCGTTCACCAATTGCTTAGATACAACAGCAATGACATCGGCAGAAGTTCAAGAGGAAATTAATAATTCTGCCTCTGAAACAGGGTTTGAATAGAGCCTGGTAAATAAGGCAGAAGGGCACACACTGAACAATGAACAGAAAACAAAATAATGAATAGCTGCTCATTAAGTGAGTAAAGTCCATTCTGAGCTCCGAAGGAGGCAGGGACCCTATGGAGAAACCAGCATGTGTTCATGTAATTAAAGACCACAATCATGCATACACGGCGGGGGGGGCAAATGAAGGTTGTGCAAAGAACCTTAAAGCTGCTATTTTATAACTTTCCAGTGTTTCACTTTCAACCTTAACAATGCTCTTTTAACGCATTTTTTTCGGTGCGCAGTGTCATACAGGGAGAGGTGTGGGCATCGTGCTTTCCTCTCCAGTTCCAGCAGTGGGAATGTCTATGCTGATTTGTTCTGGGAAGCGTGCAGTTATTAGCCATTAAAGGCTTAGAAAAATAACCAGTGTTGGTGTTCAAAGAAACGTATTTTCTTGAAGGTGTGGGGTTTTGTGTTTAAGGACAGTTCTCTGGCCCATGGGTGCTACAGCATTCCCAAGCACCCACTCCTCTGCAATTCCTCATGCAAACTGGCATCAGGACCATCTTGAAACTGTCCCCCCAGCTGGTGAGATCCTACACGTAAGACACTAGTGGAACCAGGGAAGACAAAATCAGGACAAATCAGGCCTGATCACAGTTGCCTGCTTAACAAAAAGACTCACAGACTGTGCTTAGGATGACCTAGGGCAGCCAGTCCTCTCCTGTTCTTCCGAAAGCTGTCACGCCTGGAAAGCTGAAGGCATTTATCAGAACATTTTGGCTGTGTTGCATCCTCCAGAAACAAACACCTCCCACTCACAAATGAAGATGACTGACACTCTTTGTCCACCCCCAAACTCCATCAAGCCTTCTCCACTGAAAGCTGTCATTTGTAGCTAGTTTATTAGCAGGCTTCAGGCTTGCAGTCAATGAGAGTGAAAATCAGAAAATTTAGCTTCTCTGTCATCGTGCTAAACAGTTAATCTTCTTCATTTGTTTGAAAAAAGCAACCTGAGGAGACAGTCCTACTGATTACAGAAGATCTCTGGAAAACACAGATCTGTGCCCTGGGAAAGCTTTGGTAATTAAAATCTGGCCTGAATCAATTAGCTTTTCATAGTAAGAGTTGCAGGAGAACCACTAACGTATTGAACAAGAGCTTGTAGCTTTCAGCTGCATGTTCCCATGCAAATCAGAGTTAGGTGTCTGAAAAGTCACTCTGGATTCTTCCCCAAACCTCCCCGTAATGAAAACGTTCACCTTCACCTGAAAAAGTTAATGGTTAAAACAAATAAAGTTGGATTACGAATGTTCTCAGGAAAACCTAAGTTCTCTGCTTGCTTTCTCACACTGACCAAGTTACAAAGGCCTCTTCTTTCAAACTGTCCTTCCAGAGCAACCCTCTTGTTCTGCATTGATCCTGTTATCCTGCTTCATCTCTTTGCAAACAAGTCTGTACGGTAAGATTTCAAAGAACATCTGACAAGATCATAAAAATACTGGGCATGTTGACAAGCACTAAGGTGAATGCAGATTCAGATGTTTAATTATGCAGAGTCAATCATGTCAGCAATTCAGACAGCAGCTCCGATCTCACAACTTAATTACTTTAATTTCAGATGAATAGTTTGTGTTGTCGTTTTTAGTTTGACATACTGCAAAACCAGTCAGACATTATCCTAGGAATGGACAGCCCTCCTGTTAGTGAGGTAAAATTTGTTGTATCCTTGGGAATGTTCAGAATCTGACTGGAGACGGCCCTAAGCAAAATGGTTCCACCTTGAAGTCAGCTCTGCTTTCATCTGGGGGTGGTGGGAGGCTCTCGGTCGCACACCTCCAGAGGCCCCTTCCCACATTCTGAGAATCCAAGGATATAAATAAAGAAATAACCTAGAAGCCAAATGCTTCTCATTTAATTCTAAAGTCATGTCAGTTGCCAGTAACGCCCCTTGAACAAAGGCAGCATCCTTCCTGATGCTCCAGAAGCGCCATCATTATTTTGGAGGATTCTTTCATGGCTCACCAACTGCCATTCTCACCAGCCAGATGCACACACGCTTCCACACTTTTTTTCCATGCACCAGAACATCACAGCACACCCTTCAACAGCTACCAAGAGGACGTGTTCAGTGACCGACTTCTATTCCTTTGACCACCTACATATCTCAGGAAGCTTAAAACATCCGAGCTGATATTTGCTCTTCTGCTTTTCATTTCAAAACATGGAAGAGAAATAGAATAGGGCCCTGTTAAAAAGGACAAAACCAGGGAAGTTTGTGGCAGGGTTGCGACCTGGCAACTGGATTTCACAATAAAGCCAAGGCACGTGATGAAGCAATTACTGTTAGGAATCATTAAATGCTCTTACCTGTCCTGCAAACAGCCCACACACACCAATAATACAGAGAATGTTAAATACAGCAGAGCCTACGATGGTTCCAACGCCTACGTCTCCTTTTGTGATAAAAACACCTGAAAAACAAGTTCAAGGCAAGCTGTGTAAATTGGAAAGTACAGAGTTTTTCCTCTAAAATTGCTCCATTAATGAACCTAAAGGCATACACCAGCTCTGCTGCTTTTACTCACATTTAATAGGGCAACTTGCAGAGAAAGGTGCTAGGGTGATTAAAGGCAACAGAACTTTCTGTGGGGATTCAGAAGGATTATCTAATGAAAACCAAACACCTTAAACATTTCTGGATCACCAACCTCCTAGTCTAGCCACAGACATTACAAAGGACAATAAGCTCCTTGAGAGCATCTCGTAGGACACAAATCTGCAGGAAACTATCTCCTCACCATTCTCTGCTCTTCCATGTATCCTCAGCCCTGCTGGCTCCACTAGGCAACTGAGCAGATTGAGAGTTCTCAGAATGCATTTTGGGACTCTGTTACAAGCTCGTTTCAGAGCTCTTCTGTCAGATTTGGTTACACTTGGCCAATGAGGTTAATGGTGAAGAAGATGAACTGACAGACACATGGTAGTATTGCACAAAATTCTTTCCTTAGGAAGTCAGCCTAAAAATACACTCCATCCCCTGCTAGCTGTCAGTCTGTTTAAATTCACCATTTGCTTTTCAGTTTCCAGCAGTATTTTTCTGGCTGTTGGAGTTTATTTTTTTTTCTCTCCACTTCTCCCTTTTCTGAGACACACGTTACCCACAAGTGTGCCCCCCACCCTGAGAGCCATTCAGTATCTGGTGGATTACACCACAGCAAGTCATTAGGGTTCCTCTAAGCTGTCTGAGGGAATTTGATTTTATTTTTGCCCTGCTGCAGCTGTGCTACCTTTAATACAATACAATCTCAGGTCTGTGGGCTTCCATTCTGTGGCTTCAAAGCCAGGCTGGATGCAGCTTTGAGCAATGGGCTGGTGGGAGATGTTCCTCCCTATAGCAGGAGGGCTGGAACTAGATGATCTTAAAGGTCCTTTCCAACACAAACCACTCTATGATTCTATGATTGTAATTTCCTAGACTTTGAGGCTTTGATCAGCACTCTCTGCATCACATGCAGCTTGGTGTGAATTAATCTGTGCTCTGTCTCTGACAGACTCTACTGAAGTAGAATGATCTTCTAGAGAAAGTAACTAAGCTCAGCATCATTCCTTTATTTCTCTTCAGTGATGAAGAGCCCACCTTAACCTTCCATTCATTATTCTAACAATTACATGCCACCAGAGATGTGGACACATAAAACAGAAATACTACACCATATACATGGCAGCATACATGTAGATCGTTTCACAGCAGCCTTCTGATTCAAGTCCCCTCGTAGCTCGAGGCTACAGAAGGAACACCAGCTCTCCTCATGTTTCACAGACCCAAGAACTGCTCAATCTCTGGATCACACTTTCCATACGCAGAGTGCTGCGCTGGTTGCATGACGCTCTCACCACCCTGTTGCTGTGAGTAAGGGTGTCAGATCTTCTCTTTGGCTTTCCGAGAGGGAAGCATCATTAGATAATTAACTAGAGCGAAGGTGATGACAGAAAATGTGCATAGAATGAATGGCCTGGGTTGCAAAGGACCACAGTGCTCATCCAGTTCCAACCCCCTGCTGTGTGCAGGTCGCCAACCAACAGCCCAGGCTGCCCAGAGCCACATCCAGCCTGGCCTTGAATGCCTACAGGGATGGGGCATCCACAGCCTCTCCAGACATCTGAGGACAGAAACAAGTTTGCCTGGTGATCAACTCGGAGGCTGAAGAGCCTTAGAGCTGGTGTGGCAGATAGCACAGAAGGGTGGAAAGGATGGAAGGAGAAGGCCGTGTGCATACGGCTCAGTGCTCTGTACCTTGGCTCTACCATAGCAAGGTAAGGCTAGTGGACAGTTATGATGAATTGCCTGCATTTCTGACCTTGCTTAGGCTGGTACAATCAAACCACTGCCAATGCAGCCCTGCTGTGAGATAACTGTACTTTTTTAGTGCCCCTTCATATAGTGAGGAATCCCCACAGTTAATCCTGTGCATGTCCATGAGGGAAGACGCATAAATATTGTAGATGCTTGGCAATCTCATGTCAACCCTGAAAAACAGCATGGCAAAAGAGGAGGTTTCAAAGAACAGCACATTAGTTACCTATGACAGATGTAAACAACTCTGGAGCAGAGCTTCCAGCTGCCATGAAAGTCGCCCCAGCCACATCTTCACTAAGATGCAAGCGCTGCAGAGAAACACATCAGAGTTATTGATTACAACACTGACAGGTGTATGGAATTCAACTAGAAATGTTACAGTCTGCTCAGAGTGGGAAACTGCCAATGTGCATTTAAAGGTTAAACAAAGGGAAAAAAAGTCATCACGAGCACACACATATATATAAATATATATACACGGTGTGCAATACGTGGCTTATCTCACCTAGTCTGCCTGTTACAGGTAGGGCTGGAGCTGAGACTTCATCCATTCCCTGACCTGCCCTGAAAATCATTTCAGCCTTGGACAGTTAATCTGTCTTCACCCTTCTTTCACTTGGATCATCATAACACATACCCCCTACAGCTCTCCTCTAGGAGCACGCAGGGACTGCTCCTATTTAAAACAGAGGTTTCTGGAAGGAAAACAGCCCTCTCCTCTATGAAAACTTTATTGGCATACACTGTTCTCAAAGATTTATTTGGTTAATTGCTTCCTTTATGTTTTCTTCATATTCACTGTTCCATCTGTGCAAGACACCGTTCAGCAAATGTGACAAAGCTGTTAAAACCACATGCCTTGCTGGCACCCTCCGCAGTTTAATCTGAGGAGCTAAAAAAAGCCACCCCCTGCCATACGGCCATAAACTGCTGTGTTGTTACTACACGAAGCTGCCTTGCTCACATGCATGCGAGTCAGCAGCTGCCATTTAACAAGCATGGGGAAGGCAGCCGACAGCGGTGGGAACGTTTCTCTAGCAGAACTGAAGGTTCACAGCAGCACAACCAACCCTGCAGGCCACAAGTCTTCTCCTCCCCTCTGCCCTTCCTAGCTGCGCAGAGTTACTCTGCAGCCTTCTCGTTATTAAAGGACATTTGCAGAGAGAAAAGATTGTTCCTAAAATGTGCAGGAACTCCCTTCTCCCAGCTCTAACTTGATTAAAGATCCCACAAAAGATATTTCAAGCCTGTAAAAGAATTCAACTCTACCCACTCAATGTATTCGTATAATAAAGAATTCTATGTATGTTTCAGGGACAAGGGAAACGGAGAAGATATGCCCTAATCAAAAATGCTTTTTAAGCAGGAGGCCAATGATTGCTTACTGCTGTAAAAGCTTGTGGAACCTGATAAAACACAGCTTTATAGAGAGTGATAATAGGTAGCATCAATATAATTATAGAATAAGTTTATAGGAACAGAAGTACATCCCCGAAGGCAAGGTTCTTCTGTAGGATTCTCTGTGGATGTATGGAAACAGCCACCCCCCAGAAGTCAGTCCACAGACAGATGGCATATTTTGAAAAGATCAGGAATCGAGAAAACCAATTGAGTTGGTTCACCAGCAGGTTCCTTGAGGACATTTCCTAGATAATTTAATGCAATACATACGATGACTAAGCTAACATAACAGGCTGGAAAATATGGCCCACCGTGTAAGGGTCAGAAACGTACTCTCAGGTATCTGTAGGCCATGTTTGCAATTGACACTGCGACGTTAGTTGTGCATTGTAAATGCACTGCTACATCAAAGAGTAACTGGACAAACATAGGTACAAATAGTTCTAGAAAATTAGGGCATTAGCTTGGTTGTAAATACATCTGAATGAAGAATAATATGAATACCTACCATAACAAATGTTCTGGAACCGATTTTCCTCTGTGCACGCTTATTTGGGAGCATAAATGCACCCAAACTCAACAACCACTTTCCAAACTAATGGAGCTAAGCCAGAAAAAGGACGTTTATTTCAAAATCAGTGTATCTGATCTGTCAGCACATCCCTGCCTCCCTTCCAAGTAACAGCACTCTCCCTTCCTCTCAGCCTCATGCTGGCTGTGCTCAGATTTAGCCTTAAGAGAGCTCACAATGTCCTGCCTCGTGCTGTCATCCTTCAGTCACCTGAATATTTAGGCACCGCGATAGTGGAAGCTCCTGGGGACTTTTTCTTGATGAAGAAAACCAGGCAGCACAGTTGGGTGCTGGGCTACAAGCATCAGGTTAGCTTAGAGTTAGATTCCACCAGAGCTGTCAACACAGATGATTTCCCCTACCATCTCCCACGCCTTGTCCCAGGGCCCAGCACAGCTGTGGTGGGTGACACTAGCAGGCAGAACAGCAGGCAGACCTCCAGCTGACACAGACTTCAGACTGGCAGGACTGAACCATGTTATCTACATGCAGCAAAGGTTTCCTTGCCTGAGATCGGAGAGGGCTTACAGTCACTTCGTGCACATGGTCTGTCTTCATCCTGTCTCTGTCTGAGCTGATCCAGGCTAAAACATAGTCCTTATCTTCTAAAATTTTAGCAAGCCAGCCTTAGCAAAAGAAGAGCAGAGCCTCCTTCAGTTGCTGGAGATGTTTAGGAGCTTCTTTACAGCCGACCTAATACTCTGCAGTATCCTGAATGTCAGTCAAGACAACTGCTGTCCAAAACCTAACCAGTCAACTGCAGCTCAGGACTGAGTGAGCTCAAAGCTTTCCAGCCTTGGCAGTGCAGCAGGAGGGATGTGCAGCTCCCCAGTTCCACAGGTAGCAAGGGAAGGACATAGCCCACAGGCAGCCAAACTTGGAGGTCAGTGACCCTCTCCTGCCCTGGATTTTTCACAGATGCATCTAAAGCCTCATGCTCATCAATGCAGGGGAGATCATTAAAGAGATTAAGACTGGAGGCAGCCGAGGCTGTAGTGATTATGCTCAGGTCAAGTCTGTGATCTCAAGGAACACGTGTGCCTGACAAGGAGTGGAATCAGGGCCTTATATGATGGTGTGATGGCATTCATGGACAAAGAAGGGCAACTGATGTCATTTGCCTGGACTTGTACAGGACTTTGACACTGTCCTGCACCATAACCATATCTCTAAACTGGAGAAAGAGGGATTTGAAAACTGGACATTCAGTAGATAAAGAATTGGTTGGATGGTCACAGCCAAAGGGTTGCGGTCAATGGCTCTACGTAAAGGTTGAGTCGGTGAGGAGTGGCGTCCCTCAGGGGTCCTTCTTGGGACTGGTGCTCTTCAACATCTTTATCAACAACACAGACAGTGGGATCGAGTGCACCCACAGCAAGTTTGCTGATGACATCAAGCTGAGTGATGCAGTTGACAAAATGTAAGGAAGAGATGCCATTCAAAGGGACCTGGGCAGACTTAAAAAGCGGGCACGTGTTCAACAAGGTTCAACTAGGCCAAGTGCAAGGTACAGATATGTGTACAGACTGGGAGAAGAACTCATTGAGAGCAGCCTTGCAGAGGAGGACCTGGGGGTTCTGGCAGACAAAAAGCTGGATGTGAGCTAGCAGTGTGTGCTTGCAGCCAACTGTGTCCCGGGCTGCATCAACAGAATGGCAGCAGGGCAAGGAAAGGGATCGTCTCCCTCTGTGCTGCCCTTGCAAGAGCCCACCTGAAGTTCTGTATCCAGGCCTAAGGATGAGGAGCTGTTGCAGCAGATGTAGAGGAGGGCCATAAATTTGCTGAAGGGCTGGAGCACCTCTCCTACAAAGACAGTGAGGCTGAAGGAGGTGGGCTTTTCAGCCTGGAGAAGAGATGGCCTCAATGTGGACTTCCAGGTCTTGAAAATTTATAATCAGGAGGAGGAGAAACTTCCTACATGGTCTAACAGTGACAGAACAAAGGGAAATGGCTTTAAACTAAAAAAGAGGAAATTCATGTCAGACATTAGGAAGAAATGCTTCCATCAGAGGGCAGTGAGGCCCTGGCACTGCTGCCCAGGTAGCCATGGGTGCCCCATCCCTCGAGGTGCCCAAAGCCAGGTTGGATGGGCCCTAGCAGCCTGAGCTGGTGGGGGGCAGCCAGCTCACAGTAGGGGGTTGGAAGTATACGTTCTTTAAAGTCCCTTCCAATCTAAGCCATTCTACGATTTACGAGCAACTATCTCCAAGTTCACGCACCAGGAGAGATGCAGCCCATCTCCTGTGAGTGAGAACTATGAACCTGAGCCAACTCACACAGGCAGTGCTGAGCAACTAAACAAAAAGCATGGGGAACGCTCTAAGACAACAGCAAATACACCATCATCACATGTTGGGGCTCTCAAGGAGAGCTGCTGCTAAAGCAGCGCACATTTCTAATAATACAAATCTCTAATACTTACTTCACAAATCTTTTCCAATGAAGGGACAAAGAAATCATCGCAGACAATTGCCAAAGCATAAAACATATACATGGCCTGAAAAAGAAAAAAGAGATTGTTGAGTCTGGAGACTGTCAAGCAAAGAAACTGAAGTAACTGCAGTATCCCAACTCATCTTAGTTTGTCTTGGAATATACTTCAAAAGGAAATACTCTTGCAAGAAGACTTTGGGAGGCTCTGTGGGATTTAACAGATAGATCATGACACATTTATCCAAAAGTTCTATCCAGTTCTAGCAAACTGCCAGCACTTTATCATCATTATAACGACTTCTTTTGAAAAACAAATCTCTGGATATTGCTGAGCTGCCCTTCGCTTTCTGCTCTGATGTACAGTGTAAAGCTTTTTTATGACTGCACTTCAAGAAAGCCTGGATTCTCAAGGAGCACCTTTTGAAATGCTGGTGCTCTGAAACAGTGGAAAGGATCTTATTTTCTGCACATAATCTGGGACAAACAAGCAAGGTTTTAAACCCAAGCTTTCGTGAAACAAGGCAAGTGGGAGAGGACAACTGCATCTTTCGAAGACCTGCTAGAGAGGTCAGAGCTCACCTCTTGCAGCACTGTGAGTATACAGCATATCTATCACATTTAGCATCACTGTGAGGAACCAGAAAACGATCTATCTGCATAAGTTGCTAAAAAGCTGCTATGATACCACCTCAGATCTCATTCTTAGCAGATTATGGTATCAGCAAACATTTATCTACGCCTGTATGGATGTAAAAGCACAAACCTATGAGAGTTCCTTCAATTCTGGGCATATAAACAGGGCAGTGAAGCCCAGGACATTAAGCCTGGAACAAAATGCACTGCAGCAGCTGCACAAAAAAATAGCTGTGTCTGGAACAAGGGCTATGAAAGGCTGCATGCAGTGAGGCAGGAAAGAGGAACACCTGAGCTCCTTTCTCCATTCCCCTCCTTTCTCCATTCCCCTCCATGAGTTTGCTGCCAGGAGCTGCACCCAGTGCTCACAGCCTTCCATCACAGCTCATGCTCGTGCACGTTTCCACACAGTGTGTCTTCACACTGCACACCACAGCATCACCACTGTTTTCAGTGCATGTGGGTCTTGATTTTTCAGTTGTTTTCAAGACAGGGCTTCTCACCCCTGAAACTACCTCCTGTACATAAAAGGAGCTGAGAGAAGTGGCCAACATTTGTAGGAAAACAGTGCCTTAATCCTATTGATTTGGACGTTCAGAATGTAAACAGTGGCTGTAGGATGGCCCAGCTCTGCCTCATTTTGGATTGTTCACTCTGTACTCCCACACATAGCTTCAGATGCTATGATGAAATCAGGCTGCTCAGCTGTTGACAGTTGCTAGCTGAGGCATGTATCAGCTCTGCTGGAAATTCCCTGCAAGTCCCTTTTATAAATAAAGACTATTTTCTACAAAGCCCATTAATTCCTGCTGCATTTTCCCTTGCTTCCCACAGAAAAAAAATAAAGAAATAAAAAAAATCCCAGCCAAGACAAGAAGCAGTGTTCACTTCTTCATGGTTTTTGCCCTGCCATGGTTCCCATTTCTGATAACTCTGTTCACCTGGGGTTCACAAGGAAGTAAAAGGTGAACAGGTATCTGAGAACCAGAAAAATTACATTCAGACCACAGGCTTGCCCTAACTGATCAGGTTCTTGTGGCATGGATTGAACTGCTGTCTGTCTGCATGATACTTAAACAATGCACCCAGCCCTCAATCACTGAAGCTCTGATGCTAGGAGTACATCAGAGTATATTCTTCTGAGAGGAAACCTTGGGCATCACAGAAGAATGACCAGAAGCAGCCTAGGAGAGTGAAGTGAGCCAATCTCATTGAAATACAATAGATAGAAGGTACCCAACTTCAGCCTAGATTTTTTAATCCTCTAATCACATTAATCTGCAGTGGGTCGTGCTGTCATTTTCCCTTCCTAAATGCACAGTAATGCCTTTCAAGAACACTAATCTGTACAGCATCATCTTTATAGAGCGCATTCTCTCTATTTGCCACAATCTACAGTCACAGAGCACAGGGCATCATATGGCTGCTGGGGATTCCTGCAATCTGTTACGGTTGTGGTAGCCAAGTTCTCCTGAAGTGAGACAGAAAACAGACCAAAAACAAGAAAAAAGAAAGAAAGAAAAAAGCACGCACTCAGATCAAGTCCCTTCAGCGTCTGCCTCAACATGGGGTGCACACAGCCTTCGTCTCCTCTGTGCCTTTACCATCTTTTCAGTTCACCCAAACCTACTATATCTACACAGAACGCACCAGGCAGCTTCAGCTTGGACTGACATCAGATGCAAGATGTTCTCCAAAACTCAACTTTCTGACGGTTGTTAAACAAGCACTCCAATGACTGACACGAAGAGTGGGTTTGCACCATCTCAAATGCAAAGACAAGAACAAGAAAAGCATACTGCATACCCATAACCACACATAGATATGAAAGCTACACTGCCTGTCATTCTACTGATTTGTAGAGTGCACCATCACAAGCCAGAAGAGTGGCAATGGAATTTCCTTTTCTCTACTCCTGCTTATACATCAGCACGCTTGGATATAAGAGAAAGGGTAGCAAGTGGACAGAACTCAACAAGGAGTGGAAAAGTGAATGTGAAGAAACTGGACCATGCCTTCCCTCACCTTTATGAAGGTGAACACCAGTGCTGCTGTGCCTGCTGAAAGCCCTGAACCAAAGCCTGCTAGGTCAGAAAGATGACTGCAGGTTACTTCAGCAAATTTTACACCAGGCTGACAGAACAGATCATACTGACTTACAGGCCTGAACGTTTACCTTTAATGATGTAATTGTTGTCACAACCTGGGTTCTGGCTGGGAGTCTTACTTAATTTATCTGGCTTGAGTTACGTACAGTACAAAGAGTTCAAATCCACGGAATATCTGCTTAGAAAACAACTTGGTTCATGAGCTAAAAGGCTGGCAACTGCCCTTGGCAAGTGAACAGATGAGGACAATAACTGCTACTTCCTTGAAAGAGTCTTTTTTGTTTTGTTCGTTTGTTTTTACACAAACCAAACAAAGTAAGGCTTGGGCCAACAGGAACACGCCAAAAAGATTAAATTTTATATCAAGTCAGACTGGTGAAGAGAGAACACAGACATCACTCTAGGCTATTTTACGTGGTAAGAAGGAAGAGAACCAGCAACAGGGCAGGCCAGTCTGTTCCATATGTCCAACATGGGCAAAAGCAGGCAGTGTGACTTTAAGACCTTGCAGCCAATTCGGTGGTGGAAGCTTCCAAGTTCAGCTGAGGCTGTTACTGCACCAAGCATCACTTAACTGCGTCCAGCTAAATAGAAGACACAAAAGCCTTTAAACAGGCAACCTACTGAAAAGATGCCTTTTCCCCTCAATAGGACAAGGGGAAATGGTTTCAAACTAAAACAGGATCGGATGCAAGGAAGAAGTTTCTTATGCTAACAGAAATCAGGCAGTGGCAGGTTGCACAGAGAGGCAGTGGATGCCCCATTCCTGCAGACAGCCAAGGTCAGGCTGGACGGAGCTCTGAGCTCTGATGGAGCTGAGGGTGGCTCTATGCACTGCAGAAGGGTTGGAATGGATGGCCTCCAAAGGTCCCTTCCAACTCAGATGGCTCTATGACACTTACCTTCACTAGAAGTCTGCTTTAAAATTAAGACAATACAAGGTTCCCGTATTAGAATTTTGCAACTATCAGATTAAGTACCACCTGACAACTGGTTTTTAAGCAATGCTTCTGACAAACATCAGAAAATTAATTGCAATCTCTGTAGATTACTCATATTATTCACAGTATGTGATCTGCTGCTCAGGACTTCTATGTTTATCACTGCTGTTTGTCCAGCACCTCTTTGAATTTCTTGTGCCAGCCTCCATCCTGGCATTAGAACAAGACAGAAACCCAATCTTCATGTGCCTGGGCAGATGAAGGCACACGTAGGCAGCCTGAAAGCAAGTCCAAAGGGGCCACTGAGAGTAAGGAAGTTGTAATGAGACAACTGAGCAGATGCTTGGAGAACCTTCCTCCAAGTCAGAAGAGCTTTTTTCAGGATAGACTGAAGGTGCCTATCAGAAGATTTAGATTGAGACCCTCAGGATGAGTAGGGATGAGTGCACGTCCCTGACTCCTTCCAGCAGTTAAACCATGTCAAGGGAAAGAGGATGAACTGCAGAATCACGCAATGGCTTACGCTGGAAGGGAACTCAAACCCAGTTCCAACCCCTGCCATGGGCTGGCTGCCCCCCATCAGCTCAGGCTGCCCAGGGCCCATCCAACCTGGCCTTGGGCACCTCCAGGGATGGGGCATCACAGCTCTGGGCAGCAGTGACAGGGTCTCACTGATCCCTGAAATAGACCCTGCCTGCTTCACGTCTCATCCACTCAGCTCCCACCTGAGCCCCTGGTAACTGCAAGCTCTGCCAGCCACATGCCAAGTCATCTTCCAGCCAAAGGACAGAGCAACGCTAGCCTCATTCTCTAACCCTCTCCAGGCAGCTGGGATCCCACATACCAGCTCAACTTTACAGCCAGCACCAGCAGCCACTGCCCTACCATTGTGATTCCCTCTCTGCTACATATAATGGGTTCTGAAAAGGGTGAATTTCCAGCCCAGAGCAGCATGAAGTCAAAGGAGAGCTGAATGCATTTTCCTGACGCGGCACAGAACTGGCAGTACCAAGTGCAGGACCCACACCTACAAGGCTCAGATGCACGCCTACTTTTCTATTCACAAGTCCCTTTTCAGCAGTTAAAGATGCCACAACTGAGAGCTACTCATCTCTACAATTTCATTTTGGGAAATCTGCTTTGTATCATGTTACCCTTCATGAAATAACCAGGACAGCTTATAGAGACATGACCTATATAAAGAGCTATTCTGCGTTCCGTATTTTCTAGCAGCTTGTCTGTAAGAAAAAAAAAAAAAAAAATAGTGCCTACACATAATTCTTATTCACATTTTTCCTATAATCTGATGATCAAGCTGAATTTAGGATCAATCTAGCTGCAGATCTAGAGATTACTCTGAAATGGATTGCTCAATCTTGCTAAAAGATGTGTGTCTAACAGAAAGTGCTGTAAGCAGACTTCTTGCAGCTCATGCTCCCCAGAAACATCAGTTGCTTGGATGAGCTGAGCACTACTTTGGTTTTCCACAACTCCACCAACAGGTCCTGCATTTCCTTGGGAAAGAATGCATAGGGTATGGTCCTCCCAAGAAGCTCATTTAATTAGATAATTTTACATGAAATTGGTTCGTCAATCTGACCCGCCTCACTTCTGAATCAACAACTCATCATAAGTGTCACCTCAAACCACAGTGCACCACTGAAAGCACTGCACTAAGCACAGGGCTTTCCTTAATTCTGACTGCATTCTGAATCCTGAAAGCCACCTATAAGTCCAGCTATGTGTAAACACTTCTATATCACACAGAATGAATAAAATAAGCATGCTTGGAGTACTGCAATAACAAGAGTTCCAGGGAGCCCTCCATGACACACAAATCCTCCCTCTTCTGTGGCAGCACACATCTCACAGATAGATGAAATGATCTGCCTGCTGGCTTGCAGAGGTAATGGGTGCCTATTGCTGAGTGTCTATATGGGACAACCTCTGCCAAAACAACCTCAAAAAGAAGTAAAATGCTATGAGAACACCTAGAAATCCACAACCCTTTGGGAACAATGTCAAGACTGCCAATGAAGGTCTCAAGTGCTGGGAAGCTCCTGGATCACAGACTTAATGCTTTAGTAGCGCCAGACCCTGGCTCCTTCTCAATCTAACACCTCAAATCAGTGATTCAGCAGGGATGTCACCATTCCTGATATCTCTCCCTCTTCTCAGAAACAACACGAGAACAATTAATAGCAGTAAAGCAATCAGTTGATGAGCTACAAAGAACTTTCCAGGGAAAAATTAACCGTTATAGCTCCAAGCCTGCAATATATCTTCAGTGGCCCACTTTGTATTCGAGCTGAAGTGCTTTCAGCTCAGGCATTTCTGCTGACTAAAACTATTGCTGAACTGTTCCTGCCCAGTTTCTCTTAGGCTTTTAAATTGTTTCAGGGATTACTATCATCTTTGTGAAGGTCATGTTAAGTAATTCACCACAGCCTCACTGTGGGATCTGATGGAGTGTGTTTCCATTTTCACTGTCATTGAACAGTAGGGAGAAGATGTTTTGGGAATCCATTGAAAGGCTCTCACTTGCACCACCCCAAACACACACGGTTTGATAGTGACAGGACAAGGGGGAATGGCTTTAAACTAAAAGAGTGAAGATTTAGGTTATTTAGGAGGTAATTCTTTACTCAGAGGTTGGTGAGGCCACGGCTCTGCTGTGGGTGCCCCATCCCTGGAGGTGCCCAAGGCCAGGTTGGATGGGCCCCAGGCAGCCTGAGCTGGTGGGGGGCAGCCAGCCCATGGCAGGGGCTGGGGGGCTTTGAAGTCCCTCCCATCCCAAGGCATCCTGTGATTCTGTGACTGTGAATTTCCCATTTCAGTGCATTTGCCCTCTGGTTTCTGATAAACAAGCTCTACCTTGATGTGTTTCAGAAATTAACATGAAAGTGGTAGCAAAGGAGAGACGGGGGAAAGAGAACAAGACTTTACCAAAATGAATAAAAAGAGTTCAGCATAAAGTCCCTTTGATTCTACAGCCCTGTCTCCTCAAACCTGCAGAGAATACTGACTGTGTCTATACCTTTTCCTACAACGTGCATTTCCATGTATGCTCTAATTTTATCAGACACTCAGTAACTGAAATGCTGGAGGGGAAAATCAGAATTAGAGGTTGATCACCTCCAATACAGTGACGACTCCTTTCAATTGAGACTGAAGCAGCAGGTTGCTTAAAGCTGACCGTTGTTTTGCTACTAACAGTCAGTTCTCTCTTGGACAACAGGTTATAGTTACTCTCTCTGCCCAGAAAGGTGGTGGTTCCCCATCCCTGCACACAGCCAAGGTCAGGCTGGACAGGACTGTGAGCACTGCTGGAGCTGTGGGTGTCCCTGTGCACTGCAGGGGGTTGGAATGGATGGCCTTTAGGGTTCCCTTCCAACTCTAGGGATTCTATGATTCTATTCCGATTGGCTCAGAGTGGAAAGACACTGAGAAACGCCTCAGTAAATGGCTTTCATTTTCTTTCTGAAGTAGGCAGTTCATCTTCAATTTTCTGTCCTCAAAAATCTGCTTTGATATGTGTTAAAGTATGTTCAGCTTATTCAAAACTGACAAAAAAAAAAAAGCAACCAAAAACAAAACCAAGAAAACCTCCAACAAAATAAAACACCAAAACTGTGGAAAAATAAACGATCTTGAGAGTAATTACGAAGCCCCAAATAATAACCTGAAGTAGAGTGGAAAACAGCCCAACATACAGTTTACACAGCCGTCCTTATGAGAACACTGTGCGATTTCACTGTTGCTAATAGTGAAAAAATACAGTCCACATTTTGCCTTTTGTAAGCACACATGGAGACAAGGATTCCACTGAGATGAAGAATGGCCGTAGCAACTCCTATTTTCAATGGTCTCATTCTAAACTTATTCCTGTAGCTCAAGAGATTTTTCTTAAAAATAGTTTTTGTGTTGAAATCTAAGAAACACGCGTTTACAAGGTAGCAGCACGCTGTTATAATCATCACGTTCTGCAGAGAGTGGCTGCACAAGAGCTGTTTTTCATATACAGAGCTGAATTGAACTACATGCAGTTAAACTCTTTCTTATAAACTCTCCTAGCACTTTCTGTATCACCCACAGCGGAGGTAAAAGGGGACAAACTTTCCAAGACTGCGTTATGTGGTTTACACATTTGCTGTATGGATCAGGAGCAATTAGATAGAGATGCTTGAATTGGGGATCAAGAGCAACCTTTCCCAATCAGAACACAAAAACTCTGTTTGTGGCAATAAGAACAAGAGAGACAAACCGTCAGCATCCAGTTCGCAAACAAACAATGCAGGACAACAGGCAGGAGAAACCCAACCTGGAGCCATCATCTTCTATCTCTAGTAGGGAAGCTGAAGATCCTCTGAAGATGTTTATCTTTCCACTAACAGTAGAGCAGCTCAGGGTGACTTGTATTAGAGGGCATAACTTTGAGAGATGGTTTTTCTGGATTTTTAGGAGTATTCCTGCTAAAAAAATCCAGCTCAGGTTCAGGATTCATTTTTCAAAACATCTCAAAGCTAAATGCTCCCACAGAATCTTGGAAACCTTTGGCTTGCCAAAGTCAATAATGATGTTACTCAATAATTTACTGGAGCCATTCAGCTGAAATAAAACCATAACAGAGCACTCGCATTACATGATGCAATACAATCTCATTTACACTTTAAAAGAAATCACGAAGGCACATAGCTAATGATAAAGCAAGTATTTTCTTTGCTGCTTAAGAAGGCATTCTCCCCCTTGCCAAGTACCAAGTTGGCAGCACTTCTGAAATTGACATGAAAAAAATTGTCTTCATCTACCCAACAGAAGTTGAAAAATGGATTTGGAGGGGAAGTGCTTCCTTCTGTGTTGTTACTGCAGCTCCATGCTTGGGCTTGTAACAGTCTAGGGGACTAATTGACTGCACTTACATTTAAATTTATCTCCACTACCCTGAATGCCGACCTTGCCAAGCGCCCCTTCTACACTGCCTTGTTTGAGGCAGAGATCACACAACTCCAAGCCAAAAACTGCATGGCTTTCTGACAACTGAGAGTTTAAAAACAGCATCTATTATAATCTTCCTGGCACGTTCCTGAACTTTGAGGCTCAACACTTTCTAGAATTCCCCAACGAATCCAGGACCACTGTGCAGCTGGTAAAAGCAGAGTCATGGCCTCTTCTTTAATGCATTCGGGAAGAAAAGCTCACTTCAGCAACTTAAATAGCTGGGGAATTCTGGAGATCCAAGTGAGAGACTGACTAGAGCATTTTCTAGTTGGATTACAGTATGACTCAAGCACCACTTAGACATTTCTTCTACAGGCACCATTCCTGTCAGGATAAACAAGAACCTTTGCAGCACCCATCCAGGCCCACCAAGCCAGGTTGACCAGGCTGGCATTTTGGTCTCACTGCTCTTTGAGATGATGGCTACTTCTCTCTCAGTGCTGGGGGAATCCTTGGCCCTTTGAGTCTTAAACTGGAAAAAAAACCAACCCAACTTTCTGGCTCTTGTATATTTTGATCGAGGGGTTTTTTTTGGCCTGTTGTGTAACTTACCACGCGTTAACATTATACTCATATTAGTCACTAAAACTCACTCTCAGTCATGACTGAGAACAGAAGGGGAATGTCTGCATGCAAGAGCAGAAAACCCTGTGGGTAGGAAGCAGTATCAACTGTCAGTGAACATACTGACAGTCCAAACTGATAGGAAAAGAAACACAGCGTCACAAAACTTACACAAATGACATGCAGGATGACAGCTCCATGCCTCCTGTCCTCGTTCGTGAAGATGTCATTGGGGAATTCATGGAGAGCTGCAAAAAAGAGAGAAAAAAAAAAGCCCAGATGCTTAACCACGTACTCAAAACTGCCAAGTCTTCTGTTAAGTTACACAGTGCAAAAACACCAGAGCGTTCCGTGGGGTGGCAGCCCTACAACAACCACCCTGTGGGCCCCATGCAGCAGCTCTTTGTTCCACTGATGTGTCAGCTTAGCTTAACTTGTCCTCTGTCAATCAGACATCTTGCCTTACTGTGCGATTTGCTTCCGTAGCAACTGCGAGCTGTGTACCCAAAGACATCTTGCAGAGAGCAGATAAACCCCACGGACACACATCACTCCTCCAGAAAAGTCCAAGGGGAAACAGCATATTCATGTAGATGCCAACAGATCACTCCCAGAAAGCATTTCTAGCTTATGGTTTTGTACCTGGAAATGGATGGTATGGGTAAAAGCACAGGGCAGGTGCTAGAAATACTCCGAATAAATCTCAGAGAGTCTCCTACTAACACAGCACTGATCTGTATCCACAGCTACAGTGGGGCTCTGTGCCTCAGCCTTACTCCTCCCCTGCTTTTACCTTAATGATGATACATATAATGTCCTGCTGCATTGCTAAGAAATGGGGCTGGCTCTCTGATCCCTCACAAAATAAGTGTAGAGGGTTGCAATTAGCACTGCGGGAAAGCAGCACCTGTCTCATCTGAATGCATGCTGGCTTGATTCCTTCCCCCTCATCTGCACACACAAAATGCTTACTTTGAAGAGGCTGCCCGCAGCTGCCGATGCTTGGAGGCACACTATGACAGAAGCCATTTCCTCTGCAGGCACAAAGGGGACATCATGTGCCATTTAAGCCCATACTCTGCTTTTCCTGTCAATGCAGTCCCAAAGGACAGTTCGTTTTGCTCCTCTCTACTGCTATGTTTCCCATGCTGTAAGACCAAAGCCTTCCCTCTGACTCTTCTCCTCTTGACTTCCCAGCACCGAGTCCTCCAGCCGATCCCTGGAATTACTGAATGCTCTCCACATGAGCAACAATGTTCTCCCAGTGCTGTTCCCAGCAGCACACACTTGGCAGCAAACTCCCTTTGGGCGTTCTAACTTTTTTTTCCCAGCCTGGGTGCCTCTTATTGCCCTCATTGGGTGAACAATGCCAAGATGCTGGTATTTCCCTTAGAGTTCCCAGGATGACTTGCTGTATTAGATAATCAGCTAAGGCCTGAAAGAGGATGAAATCCAAGACAGCAGCAGACAGTGAGCATCACGTACAAAAGAACCGTTTCCCCTTACCCACTTCTTAGCTTTACAAATCATTTGTGCGTTTCAGATCAAAATGAATCTTTCTTCCACCTTCAAATTTCACTCTGACTCCTCAGAGACGTTCTCGACGTGAACAAGTCCTTTGATGTACAGCAGCAGAGATGCAAGGAGGTTTTCACAAGGGCATGTCAGATATTTAGAAAAAAAGCAAGCATGCCAAATCCTTTGGGTCAAGAGGGAAGGCTTAGGATTACCGTGGAGTCCTGGGAGCTGTAACCCTGCATACCTGGATGGGGAAAGGTCAGTCAGAGACCTCTTGAAGCACAGAGCAACGCGCCTGAAGCGTCAGAAGCGTGTTTGCTGTGGAGCTGCTATGCCCTACGCCATAATAACCAGTTTGACTTCCCATTTTCTTCACATACTCCTGTGCTCAACCAAAGAGGATCACTCAGCTTGTCTAAGGCTGCCAAGCCCCAGGTCCTCGCCCCAGCTGCAGATCCCCATGATACAACAGCTACGTTCCACGTGTGCAAGAATGGTGTTCAAAGACTCCCATGGCACAGCCTGCACATGTTCCCAACAGCAGTTTTTTCCCTGCAGCAAACTCAAAGGGAAAGTCATTATTGTCCTGAATGAAGGACAGAAGTGTTCACTCTGCAGTTATGCAGTAGGATTCAGGCAGGATCCGTGCTCTAATTAGCTTCCGAAAGAGCATCTGTTGGCAGAAGTGAACCATGAAGAAACTTCATGCAGAAACAATTATTTCAAATAACAATATGATAGAGGAGAAGAGAAAAAGAAACAACACAACCCAAATCAGATGCTGCTTCACTCAGAATCAGCAGATCCTGCATCCAACCTCGTTATTCCCACCATAAACTGGGGCTAACTTTGCTGAGAACAGGAGGTTCACCATGCTTCTCTGCAACCCCATTACCAAGATTCAAGGGCTTGGAATGGTCCAGAACACGACCCTCCACTGACTATCTGTTGGTGATACCAAGCATGGCAATCTATGTGCAAAATCCATCTTCTGTAATCAGAAGTGACCTGTACACAGTTGCTTATGCTTCTCACTAGGCATCCTCTTAATAACAGCCCACCTTGCCAGGGCACACAGTCCATTACTATGGTGGAAAATCAACTACACAGGCCCTCTGCTCCCGCCTGAGCAGGCAAAACATGCCTCCATCTGTGCAGATACAGTAAGCAGCCTTCTACAAGCCTATCCAGTGCCGTGAGCTGACCAGGCTCATACAATCAAAAGACTCACAAAATTATTGTTATCATATGGGACCCTGAATATCACTGAAAGTGAACAAGGATCCCATTCTACCAGCATTCTTGCACAGAAATGGGCTGAAGGTAACGATGAATGGTGTTTCTATTTACGCAATCCTGCTGGAGCAGGCCTTGCAGAATGTTAGAATGATGTTTTAAAAACAGCACTTTGGGCTCACAATCAGTGAAGAGCTTGACAACACATGAGGTATTAGAAAACTTAAATGAAAGACCTCGAGATGGATAACCCAGTGCTTTATGCGTTTCTCCACTTAGGATACAGATGAAGGGAACTAAAAAAGATACTAAGCTACAAACTGGCACCATGATCAACCTACTGCTCCCTGCCCCTGTTGCTCTTGAACCTGGAAATCACATGGTAGAATGGCTGTGGGAGGTATAAGTAGGACCAAAACAGTGCAGCCTTCTTGCTCCTTGGGGAGTGTTCTTAGAAAAGGGAGGTTCTGAAACTCCCCAGGTGCTCGCTACTTGGCCCACTTAAAATACTTGTTGATTTTTATTGTGCGAAGAACTCTTCAATGGAACAGAACTGTAACCATGAATGGACAGCCAACCTTCAGTGAAATGAATGCCAAAACAATGGATGAAGTCTGAATGCTGAATTATGCATCATCTCATTGCCCGATGGACTGTCACAGTGCATGGAACAGTGCAGACTGGCTCTCACCTTTAACAGTGAGAGTAAGATGCCAGGTGCCATATTATCTTGAATGGAAATGGAACTGATATGTTGGTACTCAAGAGCTGGTCTAAGAATATTAACTTACCCAAATCCAAATAAGGGTCCTAATAAGTCTTCTGTGCACTTGATACTACGGGGTTCTTTGTGTGTTTGTGGTCGATATGGCTGGTCATACTCACCCTTTACCTGGACAGTGTCCTTGGAGATGGCCCCATATACCCAGCGTAACACACTCCAAACTACCACAAACACCAACTAACTGGCAAATCTTCCTCACCAAACATTGATATCAATGAACTGCTCTATGGTCATTCTATGCCATAGCCATCCTCTTCCCGCAAGCTGCAGTCATCAAGCACCTGCATTAGCTAATCACACTGCAGCAGCACTGAGTTTAACCCAATAAACTATTGGGCTGATTAACCAGGAATCAGAAGAAACAGGACAAATTGTTCTGCAGAATGGCATGCCATTAGACATATTGACCGCTGCCCAAGGGATTGCCAGTGTGCAATCATTACCACCGACTGTTGGGCACATATTCCTCATGTTTCCAGAAACGTAACTCATATGATGATACAGATGAAGATCCAAATGACTCAATTTGAGCAACTAACAAATGATCGTGTCAATATCTAGTTAGCCTCCATACCTCGACAGGAGAGAAAGTGGTTGTACAGTCAGTATTCTTGGGTTCTGCCTTATCCGCCCTATTAATTGCTGCTCACTCTATTGCCTATGTGGGATTTGGATGCAGTGCACACCAGCTATCTTCAAACGAGCTATGTCTCAATTCAAGCCATGAAGTGGTGGAGCATGCAGCAAAATACAGATCCTCCCTAAAGGAGGCTCGCAGTTTGCTCTGGCTTTCTCACTGGGTTTAAGTGCACTAGAGTCATAAAGTCTTGGAAACGACAGACTAACAAGCATCCAGGAAAACCAATGTCCCACTATGCTAATCCAGAAAACAGCTCAGCGATTTAATTTGTTCAGTGTACCCTCATTAAGAGCTATATCTTTTTGTTAGGTTTGCAGTTCTCGTTCCAAAGTCAAGTAATGGGTATAACAGTTGAAAAGAGCATGCAATATAATTGGATAACCTTTGTTGCAAAGTTGTTGCAAGTCATTTAAAGATAAATTACTTTCATTTACTCAAATGCTTTATTACATTTCTGGCTGTTAATTGGATTATAAAGCACTTAAAGACAGTCTGCCAATTAGGTTGCAGGCATGGCTTTTGGTAATAAACTGCAAAGCAAGTGCAAGGAGGATGTTCTGGCATTCGGAGTGTTTCTCAGTAATTCCCATTTGAATTGCTCAATAAAAGCTAAAATAACAGTTTTCTTCTAATGGTCACTTCCACACGTTCAGTCTTGAGCTGGAAAAACCAAGCTGCTTTTTCCTGGCTTTCACATCATTATCATGAGTAAAGCTTCAGCAATTGGAATTTAATTAGCAATTCCACAGATGATTAAATGGAAAAAGAACGCAGCTAACTCTCACAGCTCCGCCGCCTACTAAGCAGTAACTGAGCAAGAAGGAGCTACATCAGGTTTGCTACAGACCCAAACAAGTGGTTTTGTTCAGGAAACCATTTGCCAAACCATAAGACACTGCAAAGGAAACACGGGGGAGCGTTTTTAGCCACACACAGAACGGTTTGCTAACACACATGCACATGCTTCTCTTCCTCCTGCAGCTGCTGAGGATTTTGTCTCTCAGCAGACAGAGTCAAAAATCCAGCCCCTTCATCAGGAGTCTGCACTTGTTCAAGGAGACTGAAGTGCA